CGAAGAGTGCGAGAGCGAGAGCGAGAGAGAGAAAGATGAGAGAGGAGAGAGAGAGAGAGAGAGAGAGAGAGAGAGAGAGAGAGAGAGAGAGAGAGATGAAGAGAGAGAGAGAGAGAGAGAGAAGAGAGGAACAGGAGATATAGATGCAGCGAATAGAAAAGCCCAAATTTGCAGAGGAAAATGACAAGAAAGGAAATGCAGCAGCAACGAGAACGCAAATATGTGGCAGAGATTAATGAAAGAACTGGAGCCCTTAGCAGCTGCAGAGGCGGACAGAGACTGAGGGGAAGGTGGAAGAAGCTTGCCAGGGATTAACGGAGAGGACGTGCAGAACACGCAGCTGAAGGAAAGCTTTAAGCAAGGAAGCAGAGATTCAACCGATACTAAGAATAGAAGCCGCAGCGATCCGCGGGCTATAGTACTAGAGCCTAGGGTGCAACGAAACTTAATTTCTAAGCGCATTTTCTGCACTCGTCTAGACTACGGCCTAAAATCCCTGCCGCGCCTCCTTCGAGTTGCTCTAGATCTATAGCATAATTTGCGGTTAGGCAACGCCATACAACGGTATATAACGTGAAAACCATGTTGTGCAAAAGTACGATTTATGTCAAAATGAAGGAAGCTACGCGGTTTGTAATACTACCGGAAGATAGAATAAGGACCAGTGAACAAAAGAAGCTCATGTTTGTATACATTTTTATTTTTATTCACATCGAACTCCTACGACAAAATGTAGTGAAATCAGTACCTACCGAATACGTGTCAAACTCCGCTGTCATTATTAACCCCTGATATATATATATATATATATATTATATGTACATGAGTATATATGTACAAGGGACAGCAGATCGAATGATGGCACGATATTGCTAAGCTACAATGCATATATGCTCTATATAATATATATATATATATATATATGCCCGCAGCTTCATGCTTGCTCGCATTCACCCGTGTTATCGCCATGGCGGCATCAACAGCAGCGGGGGGGGGCGTCACTCGCGTGCCTCCGATGTCTCGCACACGAGACTCGGTGAGTATGGGTGGGTGGGTTGATTCGTCTCAACCTCCGAGTGCTAACCACGAGGGCTCGACTGACTGACCCTCTGCTCGCGTGCTAGGGAGGGCACACGAGCTAGAACCGTACTCACGTTAGCGTGAGGTAGTGGTAATGAGTGCTCTGAGCTACGGCGATCATTCCGTGTATTTCTACCCACGCCCTTTCCGTGTAAACGTTAGTTCGGCAGCGGTGCACGCTTACGTGTGCGTGCGGCTTGCCGGAAAAAATCGGGAGCGATATATAAAAGGGGGAGGGGCGAAGAAAAGACAATTACAAGCAACTTGATTAAGTGATATGATTAAACGTTAAAATACTATAGTATATTTTGAGTACTAATAATTAAATAGCTCTGACAATTAATAATAATAACGATTATAATTAATATAATAATAATAATAATAATTGTTAATAATTTCAGTTTACTCAAATGAAGCCACATAAAACAGTAGCATGCTTCTGTCTCGCACTACTCACGTGCGCGGCGTCTGCATCCTGTTCTCAACGTCTCTGTTCTTTCTCCCCCCTTTCCTCAGGAACCCACATTCCAAAGGGGCTCCCGAGGATTCGCATCCCGAACAGCGTGGAAGGACTCAATCAAGAGATCGAGAAATTAGTATTAAAGCATCGGGAGAGCATCGGCCAGCAAGACGAGGACAGGGTAAGAATGCGTCGACCGCCGCGCGCGTGATGAGACGACGGGTCGTGATGAGACGACGGGTCGAGGCGAGGAGTCGAGACGCTGAGTCGAGATGCCACGTTGAGAGAAGTCGAGATAATGAGTCGCATGCAGTTGCCGCGTTAGGGCATCGTCGCACGCACGCACGCACGTACGCGCACACACACTTACACACAGACACACCACGCACGCATGCACGCACATACATAGACGCACGCCACAAACATGCACGTATGCACGCACACACAGGCACTTACCACAAATACACGCGTACGCAAGCACACACGCAGGCACACACCATAAACACGCAAGCACACACGCAGGCACACACCATAAACACGCAAGCACACTCGCACGAACGAACGCACGCGTGCACGGACACAGACATACCACACATGCACGCGTGCACACACATACACACCGCAGACATACCATACACGCACGCGTGTACATACACCGCACACACCATAGACATACCACACACGCACGCAGGCGCTGCGGTTGCAACGTGTAATTGAGCGCACGTTGCCGCGGCGACGACGAAAAACGCAATTCGCTGCTCGCGGTTTCTTCTGCCTGTTCACAGTCAGCTGTTCGTCGATGGATGTGTCACAGAATCTAGTATTACCTATTCCGTTAGTAAATGTCAACCAGCGAATGCGCTTAGGCGTTGAGCGCCGGTGTCGCACGCAACAGCCCCGCGAGTTGCGCCTAGAATTACACAGGTTTCCCTCTCTCGGTTGTTTAATTCACGAATTCACGGGTATGTGTGTAAACGCCCACGCCGGCTGCTGTGCGCAAGGAGCGTGTGGCCGTCTCTGCACCGCCAGTCGTGACGATTATCCTGTACGTGTGAGATAGATATACTCACGCCTGCTCGGATGTCGTTGCTAAGTCATGCAAGCTAGACCAGATCGTACGCGATTGGACTTGCACGCACACTATTTTCACGCACTGCCTACTACGATGTCGACTCTGCGGAACGCTCCTGTCACAACCGTGATTGGCTGGAGATACCTGTCACCACTGTCCCCCTCCCCCGCGCTGCAGGTTTATGTCGCAAATAGCGCCCTCTGTGAGCAGTTGCTATGAATATAATCCATTATAATACGGGTTGATGTAGCGACGCCCCCCATTACTGATAATGTTGCGCAGAGCGCCCCCTATAACGTGGAGACATGGTGGCGCCGCCAGGAGCCTATCAAACAGGAAATTGTTTTCAGCCGCTGCAGCTGACGACCGCATCCGAGCCCGCGTGCTCTCTCGCTCTCGCTCGCTCTCTCTCTTGTTCTCTCGTACTCTTTCTTGCTCTCGCTCTCACGCGCGCTTTCTCTCTCTTTCTCACTCTTGCTCTCTCTTTCTCTTTCTCTCTGTTTCTCCCTGTCTCTATCTCTCACTCTCGTTCTCTCCCTCTTTCTCGCTGTTTGTCTCTCTCCCTCTCTCTCCCTCTCTTTCTCGCTCTTTCTTTCTCTCACTCTCTTTCTCCCTCTCTTTCTCGCTCTCTCTCTTTCTCTTCCCTCCCCCTCTCTCTCTCTCTCTCTCTTCTCTCTCTCTCTCCTATCTAGATATCTATCCTTATCTATCTATCTCTCTCTCTCTCTCATCTCTCTCTCTCTCATCTTCTCGCATCCTTCATCTCTCGTGCGGCGATGGCTCTTCCCCGGCACGCTCCGCCCTGAGTTCGTGGCATCGGCTTTTCGTGAGCCGTGTGCACTGCGGCTCTATTAGCTTCTCGTAATGGCTTCATTTTAAACACCTGATTCATCAAGTGCCTTCAAAGATCACCACTGATTGGTTTTTACAGTGTAATCGAGCGAGCCGAGCGGGAGAGCGTCCCTTGTGGACATCGCACGCGCTCGCGTCGCTCGGCAGGTAGTTTGTAACGGTCTGCGTACGTGACGGTGACAGCAGCGGTGTGTCGTCTGCTCTTGCTTACGCTGTCGTGTCGCCGTGGTGCCCTCAATCATGCTGTTGTGCGCGCGCGCGCCAGGAAACCGGGGCCGGTCCATTTGCCGCGGACAGTCGAAAATAGTTGATATACGAAGCCATTTTCATTACAGAATTGCGTGCTACTTGATCGCGCACGTGCGGGCGTGCGTTCGGTGGTTCGACCCTGTGTGATGTGGTTGATGCGTTTCTGTTCCTGGATTCTATCTCTATGCGCGCACGCACGCGCGTGCTCGTGTACGCGCAGTCACCTCATCATGCACGCACGCGCGTGAACGTGCGTTACCTATGTATGCTCTATGTATGCTAACGTGCGTTACAAATGCGTATATGCACGTGTACGCGCACGCACCATCGCCGTTACGTGTACGCTTTAGTATGATTGAGTACACAGACGCACGCACGCACCCGCACACGCATGAACACAGCTATGCACGAACACGTTCAGGCACACGCTCACATGCACGCACGCACCAACATCTACGTACGCGCACAGCACGCGCACGCACATACACACGAATACTGACACTGACACCTACGCACACGCACGCGCACGCACACAACACAAGCACACACGCGCATACGTGCGCACACGAACGCGCGCGCACACACACACACAAGACATACACACACGCACACGACACAAACACGCGTGCAAACGCAGGCGAGCGCACACACACGCACGCACGCACGCACGCACGCACGCACGCACGCACGCACTCGCACACAGCATGCGCTCGCCCACACGTAGTGAGAGCCCGATTGCTGTGTGCATTCGTCAACTGTGCCGCGTTCCATGCCCCACAGATAACACCTTTCACTCCCCCACTCACAGCGGCGCTATATCGCTTTTCTGTCGGCCGAAGAATGCGACAGTGAACTATTTTGGGAGGTCAGCGAGCCATTACTTGACCGCACAGCGAAGCCCCGTAGCCTCCTCGCTCGGAGATAGCAGCGAGCAGCAGCAGCAGCAGCAGCCTATCTGTGATAAATTAATTATAGGCTCTAACTAGGCGAACAGGCAGGGTACAGTGTAGAGGAAGAGCACTGTCCGCTCTTGTCTTGAGCCCTGCAGCAGCAGCAGCAGCAGCAGCAGCAGCAGCAGCAGCAGCAGCAGCAGCAGCAGCAATAGCAGTAGCAGTAGCAGTAGCAGTAGCAGTAGCAGCGGCAGCAGCAGCAGCAGCAGCAATAGCAGTAGCAGTAGCAGTAGCAGCGGCAGCAGCGGCCGCAGCAGCAGCAGCAGCAGCGGCAGCGGCGGCAGCGGCAGCAGCAGCAGCAGTATCAGCAGCAGCAGCAACAGCAGTATCAGCAGCAACAGCAGTAGTAGCAGCTGCAGCGATGCGGGCTGACAGGCAGGCAGGCAGGCAGGCAGGCAGGCAGACAGGCAGGCAGGCAGGCAGGCAGGCAGGCTTCGTGCGTTACTACAGTAGGTCCCTTATTGAACCTTGGCCGATCGTTGGCAGGAGATGGCGGCCGGCCAGCGATATATGTATTCCTGTAGGAAACGCAGTGATTGTATTTGGCATCGACGAAGAATGAAGAGAATATTATCGTCAGCGCGATGGCACGGAATCATATCCGAACCGTCGTCATAATTTGCGTAGCAGCAGTAATGCGGGCCGCGCGCGCGTTTGATCGATGCAGTAGTGCGATATAGTGGAGATATTTCGTTATAGAACATTTCACCGACATGTTGCTGTGATAAATCTGCCCAACCGACGAAGCTACGCTTTAACGTTCGCTTGTTTCAAATAGAAAAAAAAATAGGTTGAGGTTGATTTCGACAGCGTTGAATGTTGCTAGCGTTGAAAGAGTCTTCGGGATTTCGTTAACAGTGCTGTTTTAAATGTGTTTTAAACTACTTTCCGCAGAGCGGCAGTATGGTTTCACGAATTCGTCTGCCATACATTCTATCAACACGCACACACTCTGTGTCTCTCTCTGTCTCTTTCTGTCTCTCTCTCTCTCTCTCTGTCTTTCTTTCTCTCTCTCTCTCTCTCTCTCTCTCTCTCTCTCTCTCTCTCTCTCTCTCTCTCTCTCTCTCTCTCTCTCTCTCTCTCTCTCTCTCACACACACACACACTCTCTCTTCTATACAGTGTTGTTTCACGTGTGTGTATGCGGCGCGCAGGCATCAGCATCACCTCTGGCTATACTTCGCCGTCTGCTGTGACTTACATATGCTGTCGTATTTCACATGTGTGCATCCCCCTAAGGTCCGGCCTTGCTTCTGCGACATTAAGTGCTAATAGCCGAGTTGAGAAATAATATGTAGCGCTATCATTTATTGTGAGTAAACCCAGGTCCAAGTTCGGTGTGGATTTGATATAAATTCTGGTCGTGGTTTAAGTGTGCCATTGAAGCTTCGAATGGCAAGCTGCTACTGCTGCTGCTGCTACTGCTGCTGCTGCTGCTGCTGCTGCTAATGCTGCTGCTGCTACTGCTGCTGCTACTGCTGCTGCTGCTACTGCTGCTGCTGCTACTGCTGCTGCTGCTGCTGCTGCTGCTAATGCTGCTGCTGCTGCTGCTGCTACTGCTGCTGCTGCTGCTGCTGCTGCTGCTAATGCTGCTGCTGCTGCTGATGATGATGATGATGCTGCTGCTGCTGCTGCTACTGCTGCTGCTGCTGATGATGATCCTGTTGCTGCTGCTGCTGCTGTTGTTGTTGTTGTTGTTGTTGTTGTTGTTGTTGTTGTTGTTGTTGTTGTTGTTGTTGTTGTTGTTGTTGTTGTTGTTGTTGTTGTTGCTGCTGCTGATGATGAAGCTGCTGCTGCTGTTGGTGTTGGTGGTGATGGTGGTGATGGTGGTGATGGTGATGCTGCTCCAGCTGCTGCTGTTGCTACTGTTGCTGCTGCTGCTGCTGCTGACGCTGCTGACCTCGTGCTTGATTCATTAGGCATTTAATTCAATCTCGTCTCGTTGAATCTGGTAAATATTGGCTCGCTGAATGACTCTGGAAGGCATTTCCCCATCAATGAGAGTTTGTGGTTTTCTTTCCCCATTTCCGCTCATCACTGCACGTGAGTGCGTACGTGCGTGCGTACGTGCGTGCACGAATGCGAGCGTGTTGGTGAGTTACAGGAAGGGTTATCGATAATGTGTGTGTGTGTGTGTGGTCATGACACGTAATTGCTTGTCATTCCTGCATATAACGGTCACTGCAGTGAAACCCTCTATAGTGCCAATTATATACAGGTGACCGTTCTATAGAGGAGGTTCCACTGTATTAACGCCCGCGAAAGGGAAGCACCAATACTGGCTTTCATAGACAGGTGTCCATCAATACAGAATTTGAGACTTTGTGTATAGGTATGCATACGTTTGCGGCAGAGTTGATGACATCGGCTCGTATCTCTTTTCGTCAGGTACAAGAGCCGACCCCAGACGGTCACCGTGCACCTGTCGCACAACTCATCACCAGCATGACGCAAACACCCTCAGGAACAGATGGAGCCACCGGGTGAGCAATAAATAGTCATTAGGTCATCGCCGCCTCGGCTCTTCAGGTGCTAGCTGCTGCTGCAATGTCAAACAAGTGCAACCGGGATGTTCTGCATTAGATGGATGAGGGACCGTCGTGTCGAAAAAAAATCATCAAAAAAAATCATGAAACCCTGGATGCCCAGTAATAAATCCGCACGGCCGTCAGCACGTCGTCAGTTAGCTGAATAACTGCAGGCTGAGAAATCGCAGAGCGCCTTTTCGGCGAGATGTTGTGTACGGGGTTAGGATGGGGTGTCGGGGGTTAGGATGGGGTGTCGGACGGTGGTAGGTGGGAGTGGGGGTGTCGGACGGTGTTACAGGCCGGCTGCCTCACGCCTGTGTCCGATTAGGCGGAGCGGGAGAACGAAGAGTCATTCTGTTTCGTGTGCGATTTGCTCTGCTGCTAGAGGCTGGGAGCTGGCGCCGATGCTGGGGGCTTGGATTCCCTCCTGGTTAGCAAATATTTACTAGCAAAACGAGGCTGATGATCTGCTGGTTTGTTAGCCTTTACACTGCTGCTACGTTTACGTCAGCCTGACCTAACAGTGGCAGAGATATGGTAGCATTCACAATTTCACACTATCTCTCTCTCTCTCTCTCTCTCTCTCTCTCTCTCTCTCTCTCTCTCTCTCTCTCTCACTCTCTCTGTCTCTCTCCCTCCCTCTTTCTCTCTCTC